AAAACAGGTCATTTTGGGAAAACTGAAACAATCACGACTCGACTTGTGCCTGATCTCGTCTTCTCTTGTCCCCGAGGTGTCATCCTGTCTCATCCGGGACAACGCCTGGAGTGACCACTCCTTCCTGCAGGTTGAGATGGGAAGAGGCATCAGAAATGGGGGTCTCTGGTGTTTGAATGCTGCTCTTCTTCGGGATGAGGCTTACAGAGGTGAGATCAATGTCCTGCTGCAGACTCTGAGTGGGGAGATGGATCACGCTGACAACCTGTTAGAGTGGTGGGATCAGGTTAAACAAAAAATAAAAAATGTTTCAATAAGATATAGTAGGCAGAAAAAACGGAGGGAACTCCATAATGAATGCATCTTAAGAAGAAAACTAAACAGTGAATTAGACATTTTAGAAAATGACCAAAGCAGAGATATAACAGATTATTTGATAATAAAAAAACAACTAGAGCAAATAGAAATAAATAAATGCAAAGGAGCCATTATTCGCAGCAAAGCAAAATATTTAACAGAAGGAGAAAAATCTACAGCTTTCTTTCTGGCTCAAGAGAAACGCAAACAAACTAACGCAACAATAAATGAATTGCTAAATGAGAAGGGAGAAAGGTGTCAGACATAACAAGCATTTTAGAAACGGTTCAGACTTTTTATTCACATCTTTTTACAAGTGAAAACATTTCTACCAATAAAATAAATCATGTTGTGGGTGTGATCGATTCCTCACTCTCTCAGGAAGACAGTCTCTGTTGTGATGCTCCATTGACAGAGGAAGAAATTCAACACGCTATCAACTCATTGAATAATAATAAAAGTCCTGGACATGATGGCATTACTTCTGAATTTTATAAACAGTTCAAAGATCCAATAAGTAAAATATTATTGCGGGTTTTTTCTGTCATGGAGCAAACAGGGTGCACGCCCAAGACCTTCGCCCAAGGAATCATAACCATCCTTTACAAAAACAAAGGAGACAGAAACAACTTAGAAAACTACAGACCCATCAGTTTATTGAATACAGACTACAAAATATATTCCAAAATACTAGCAAACAGGTTAAAATCAGTAATAGGCACTTTAATCAGTTCATCGCAAGCTTACGGTATTCCTCAAAGAAACATTTCAGATACAGTATTATCAATAAATCATACTATCCAGTCCATGATCAGTTCACAAGGCATATTTCTAAATATAGATTTTAGTAAAGCTTTTGATAGGGTGGAACATAACTTCTTATGGGCAGTTTTAAATAAATTTGGATTTGGTCAATCATTTATCAGCAAGTTACAGTTATTATATTCAAAAGCAGAAAGTAAGGTCAAATGCAATGGTCATTTCACAGATTATTTCCGTTTACATAGGTCAGTCAGGCAGGGGCGTCCTCTGTCCTCCCTGCTCTACAGCCTGTTGGCCGAGCCCCTCGCCATCCTGATCAGACAGGACAAAAATATTCAAGGAATAAAATCACCACAGGGCAATGACAGTAAAATATTTCAGTTTGCAGACGACACTTCAATAACAGTCAAAGATGAAAACAGNTTATGCAAGAGAATGCTCGGAAAAAAAACGGGAAAAGAGATGTCAAATTTGCCAAAACCAAATAGATAAATGCATTTGCAACTTAAGTGAATCTGATGATCAAGACCAGGGTCTGCCAGCGGGCTTCAAGGAAGCCGATGCGCAGAGCGGAGAGGAAAGCGAGATGGAGGGTGGAGTGGAAGAGAATGTGCAGGTGGAGGGAGGCGAGGAAGAGCTGAGTGAGTGCATGCCAAGTGCTGAGTGGTCTGTGGTCAGAGCGTCGGACGCAGAGGTGTCCGGTGCACTGGCTATGGGCGAAGCATCCAAAAACGGCAAAAACACAGTCGAAGAGGAGCGGGGAGAAGTCGCTGCGCCTCTTCCCCCTGTAGCCGAAGAAAACTCGCAGCTTCTATCGCCGGCTCATTTGCCGTCTTTCCAAACCCCGCTAAGCGCTTAGCCGCGGACGCTCAAAATAGTGGACTATATAGAGTCGGACCCTGATCTTGATCTTACAAAAATAATACAAACGAGGAAAAGACTGGCAAGCCTAGCAACAAAACCCAAAAGAAAAGCCAAAAAATGACTATAGCAACATTTTTCCACTTATCACTAATGCTCCTTCTCTCGCTTAATGCCCGTGGGCTCCGCAGGGAAGAAAAGGTGAACGCAGTCATTTTTCAATCGCATTTCGATATACTCTGTCTACAAGAAACAAAGTGGGATATTTCACAAGAAAAAGAGATGTCACATAAATGGAAAGGGAAAATGTTTTCATCTACATCAAGTACTCAAGCGGGTGGGGTGGCTATTTTTATGAGGGAGGGTCTGTTCAACAATTGTCATTTAATTCATAAAGATCAGCAGGGAAAATTCATCATAATAGATTTCTTTTACAATAATAAATCATGTAGGTTAATTAATATTCACGCACCAAACATAGATACACACAGGAAAAGGTTCTTTATTGGTTTAAGACAATGGATAGTCACTAATTGCATCATAATAGGAGATTTCAATATAACACTCACAAAATCTGACATTTCAAATAACTGCACATTTTCTGAGGATTATAGTAGGAACACACTTTTTGACATCATTACACAAAATAGTTTGGTAGATATTTGGAGACTTTTTCACCCAGGTAAAAAACAATTTACCAGAAAACAGGTCATTTTAGGAAAACTGAAACAATCACGACTCGACTTGTGCCTGATCTCGTCTTCTCTTGTCCCCGAGGTGTCGTCCTGTCTCATCCGGGACAACGCCTGGAGTGACCACTCCTTCCTGCAGGTTGAGATGGGAAGAGGCATCAGAAATGGGGGTCTCTGGTGTCTGAATGCTGCTCTTCTTCAGGATGAGGCTTACAGAGGTGAGATTGGCATCCTGCTGCAGACCCTGAGTGGGGAAATGGATCACACTGACAACCTGCTAGAGTGGTGGGATCAGGCCAAACAAAGAGTCAAAAACCTTTCCATAAAATATAGCAGACAGAAAAAACGGAGAGAACTCCATAATGAATGCATTTTAAGAAGAAAGTTAAATAGTGAATTAGATCATTTAGAAAATGATCAAAGCAGAGACATAACAGATTATTTGATAATAAAAAAACAACTAGAGCAAATAGAAATAAATAAATGCAAAGGAGCCATTATTCGCAGCAAAGCAAAATATTTAACAGAAGGAGAAAAATCTACAGCTTTCTTTCTAGCTCAGGAGAAATGCAAACAAACTAACGCAGCAATAAATGAACTACTAAATGAGAAAGGAGAGAAGGTGTCAGACATAACAGGCATTTTGGAAATCGTTCAAAATTTTTATTCACAACTTTTCACAAGCGAAAACATTTCTACCAATAAAATAAATCAGGTTGTCAGCGTGATTGATTCCTCACTCTCTCAGGAAGACAGTCTCTGTTGTGATGCTCCATTGACAGAGGAAGAAATTCAACACGCTATCAACTCATTGAATAATAATAAAAGTCCTGGACATGATGGCATTACTTCTGAATTTTATAAACAGTTCAAAGATCCAATAAGTAAAATATTATTGCGGGTTTTTTCTGTCATGGAGCAAACAGGGTGCACGCCCAGGACCTTCGCCCAAGGAATCATAACCATCCTTTACAAAAACAAAGGAGACAGAAACAACTTAGAAAACTACAGACCCATCAGTTTATTGAATACAGACTACAAAATATATTCCAAAATATTAGCAAACAGGTTAAAATCAGTAATAGGCACTTTAATCAGTCCATCGCAAGCTTATGGTATTCCTCAAAGAAACATTTCAGATACAGTTCTATCAATAAATCATACTATCCAGTCCATGGTCAGTTCTCAGGGCATATTTCTCAATATAGATTTCAGTAAAGCATTTGATAGGGTAGAACACAACTTTTTATGGGCAGCTTTAAATAAATTTGGATTTGGTCAATCATTTATCAGTAAACTACAGTTATTATATTCAAAAGCAGAAAGTAAGGTCAAATGCAATGGTCATTTCACAGATTATTTCCGTTTACATAGGTCAGTCAGGCAGGGGTGTCCTCTGTCCTCCCTGCTCTACAGCCTGGTGGCCGAGCCCCTCGCCATCCTGATCAGACAGGACAAAAATATTCAAGGAATAAAATCACCACAGGGCAATGACAGTAAAATATTTCAGTTTGCAGACGACACTTCAATAACAGTCAAAGATGAAAACAGTTTAGAATTGGTTATTAAACATCTACAAACGTACGGTTCAGCCTCAGGAGCAAAAATTAATACAACCAAATCTGAGATAATGTATTGTGGCGGGGCGGCTCGGACACCGGGAAGGTGGAAGTTCAGGGAGGTGGAGGACACAGTCAAGGTCCTGGGCGTGTACCTTGGTAAGCAGTGGAGAGCGGCGAGAGACGAGACCTGGAAAAACATCATAAACAAAATACAAAAAGAGCTCAATCTCTGGAATCAAAGGAAATTAACCATCAAAGGGAAAGTAGTTATAATAAACAGTTTAATCATCTCTAAAATCATTTATCCACTCAGTGTTTATGATCTCCCAAAACAAGTACTCAACAGATTTAACAGTCAAATCTCTTTGTTCATTTGGAAAAGCAGAAGCAATTTAGTCAGCCATAAAACAATGATTGCTCCGCCTAAAGAAGGAGGACTCAAATTAGTTGACATTCAATCAAAAAAACAAGCAATAAGAATAAAACTCATCACCAGGTTCTTAACTTCTCCTATCAGGCACATTTGGCATGACTATTTTCTATCTGGTTTCAACTCATTTGGTACAAAAAACATTTATAATCTATGTTCAATTTCTGATCCAAAACTAATACAGTCTAACGAATTATTCACAGAATGTCTTGAAGCCTGGAACAAAATTAGGTTTCAACTCGTCACGCATGTCAAGTACAGGTCTTGTCTCTCGCTGCCGATTTTCAATAACCCTGAGGTAGTTTGTGAGGGTAGGATGTTCGATCTCCCATCCTGGAGAAGAGCAGGTATTCACACCTTTGGGCAGGTTTTGAATGATCGAGGATCAGTGGATATTAATAAAATATTTAATCATTTCAGAACTTTTAAAATGCCCTACAAAAGAAATATCATTGTTAAACATGCTAAAAAGATCCAGGCCGCTTTGCCTTTCCACTGCTCCTCGATCATTGGCAGGAGAAGACGACATCAGGAGGTGCAGGATGACGCCCCAACTTTCCTTCTATCAATAGGTGATCAGAAAACATATCAATTCAATTGCAACAAAAAAAATGGTATCACATATTGGTTGCACGCATCAGCAAAGAACCCACAGCTCACAAACAATGGGCTAAAATATTTCCCAGCATATCAGTTTATAACATTTGGTCAAATATACAGTTCAAATTTAATCATCAACAAGCCAACAATACAGATTTTCTATTAAGGCACAGAAGGATTTTTACGGGCGTCATCCTGCACCAAATAAACAAGAAGAAGTATGGCAGAGACTGTACAGTTTGTCTTTCAGACCCCGAGACACTAGAGCACCTGTTCCTTCGCTGTCCCGGCTGCACCCCCTTCTGGAACAAGATCCATCAAATCATCAACAACATCTCTACAACGGACGACAACAACTGGGACTCAATCAGACTTTTTGGAATCACATCTTCTCTCGGACATCTAACAAAGACACAATTCAACCTCTGTAATATCATTCTTTCCCTGGCCAGGCACACCATCTACATTTCCAGAAATCTTCAACTCTATGATAACAAGAATGTGGACCGTTGGAAGCTTTTATCAGGACTATTGCAAAATCATCTTAAAACAGTAAATAGCATCAGCAAGGGACTTTGTGAAAATATGTTTGGGCCTCATATGAAATGTGTTTATTTTCAAGGATGGACTTTTTGAACTTTTGTTGTTTAATATATTACAATTAATGATTGTATTCTTTTATCTTATTTGCGTATGTTTTGTTTGAAAAAGAGATTTGTGCATATGTTTTTTTTTTACTTTGTTTTGTCGTAAACAATTATATTTTAATTCAATTTTATTTTGAATGAATTTAATTCTATTGATTTCTTTTTTTTTTTTTCACATTGATTGAAATCTGTTTTACTTTTTAGTAATTAATAATTTTTGTTATTCATTTTGTTCACTGTAAATAATTGTACTAAATTTTTCTTAATTTTGAATTTTTTCATAAAAAAAAAAAAAAAAAAAAAAAAAAAACACGCCCGATCTCGTCTGATCTCGGAAGCTAAGCAGGGTCGGGCCTGGTCAGTACTTGGATGGGAGACCGCCTGGGA